GAATTCCACACTATTGTTTTTACACTTTATTTTTAATCGAATACTAGTAGCTTTTGCATCCATTCGCAATCATTATCACAGCTTTAGTTCATGTAACCGTATTGATTTCCACATGTACATTTTTGAACATTAAAGGTGCAGTATGTAAGTTTGACACCCAGTGGATGAACTAGGCGTTGCATTGATGGATCTAAACAAACACATATCAGTGATTTAGCATTTACATTTTATAACGTTAAAGAGGTTTAATATGTATTCATTAGATTATAAACCTTACCATTGTGTTGGAGTGCAGCGAGTGCACTATTCTGTGCTTCTGAATGGCTGCATTTAAATTTCTGTCGTGTTTCGTCTGGTGCAAACAACCAAATTGCTTATCACTGTAAATCTCGTCATGTAGCGTGTTGTTAGGACACGGGGTTACGAAGTAACCTGCTCACCTAATGTTTACGTTTGTAATATTTATGTTATTTGCTAATTAATAACCTCATGTGGAACTTTGAGGTCACATTTCAGCCACGGGTGCATGCTTTAAGAGCCTTCCTGGTCTAAATAAATGATAAACGCAGTTTTCCACCAAGGCAACCCGGAGTGCTGAAATATAATTGGCTAACCTGTCAGTGGGCGGGATAAAGGGACCAAAATAAAGACAGTGTTCAGGCATGTAACGCACATGTTCAAAGATAATGTTTTTCAGATAAGAATGTTCACTTAGCACGTTTCTCAAATATCTGCAAACATATTATGTTATTTCCAACCCAGGCTCATTCTGAAAACGTGGTCCTGCGGACATTTCTGGAGACCGCGAGATACGTCCCAGGAGGTATGTATGGCTGCATTTTGTTTTTTCAAGCGAACGCTTCGGGGCGGTGTGACGTCGTTCCCTTTCGCGCTCGCCGGCCGAACGCTTACCTCCGTGTGGAGGGCTTTCCCGCCGCAACCAGTTGGTCCAGTCAGCTCATCCTGTGCGTCGGCAGACTTCAGATGCAGACAGAGAGGAGGCGTTGACCACTGCGACCGGGTTCGAATCCGGAAAAGAGCGATCCAGAAATCAGGTAAGACAAAAACAGAATCCAAAACGAGTTCACGACGGGGTGAGAATGTGATGAAATCCGAAAACGTGGTGGAAAATAAAAAAAATCAGACGAGGGCTTTTATTTTCTGGACGGCTTTTGTAAACCGTCGGTCGGGTTTAGGGAAGTAAGCGGGCGGGCAGGCGGGTCAATCGATATAATTATTGCTTGAGTATAGGGAAGGAAGGAGGAGGGTGGTGTTAGCCGACTGGCTGGTCGCGCAATCAATCGTTCGTTCAGTCAGCTGGACAGCAGCCTCTGGCGGGTTGACGCGAGAACAGCGCGGGCGCGAACGCTCGCTCGAGACGCGAAAAAGCGCACACAGTGGTATATATATATATATATATATATATATATATATATATATATATATATATATATATAAACAGCTGTCACAGTTTAGTAAAAGATAATCAGTTAATCAGTAATAATAGTAATAATGATGACTGAAATGGGAAACCATATTTGTGAAATTCAATGGGTGGCGATAATGCACCTATAGAAGTTAGTTCGTTACCATATATGGTTAGCCTAAATCGTGTGTGCTACATTGTGTGTGCCTGAAATGTGTGTGGTTCTGCGGTTCTGCAGCTGGACATATCTCGAATAATTAGATGTAAAAAAAAAAAAGAGTCAAGTTTACCTGGATCATGCGCTCAAACATGTGAGCGAGCGGCAGGTAAGAGATGGACACGTCCTCTTGACGGATCACAAAGTAGCCCTGGAGTGCGCGTGTGTATGTGTGTGTGTGAAAAAGAAGAAAATAAACATGAACAGGATTAAAAACGACTAATGCGCTCAATATCTTTTGCTGCTTGTTCAAACAACTCATTTAAAATGAATTTTTGAGCTCTGGGACAACTTAATTGTTTTATGTTCAATCCACCTAAATTTGTGAACTTTATTTAAGTTAACGTAATTGATTTGTGTTAGGACACCATGAAGGAATTGTGTGGAAGCCAGCATTTTGCTGGATATAAATGAAACATTTAACCTATTATTAATATTATTATTATATTAACCTGTTAACTAGGTCACACTTTACAATAAGGGGTCCATTCTTCGTACCTCGCTTAAATGATCTAAGATGATTTGGCAGATCCTGGATCTGTTCATCTTGATACTGATCTCTGGCTAATTTGGTTCTTCAAACAAGTTCGTGAATCAGATTAATATGTCTGGATAAACTGATCTGAGATCGCTGCGTGTGTTGTGAAGGACAGATTTATCGATCCTCAAAAACATGATCAACTATGCAATGATTGGCTGACGGCACAGCAGAGTAATGACATCATCTAATAAATATTCAATTATCAATGTGAGCATAATTACATCAAATTAGCAGTAAACGGTTTGTTAAATATGACGCGCAATAACTTTCCACGTTTGTTGTGGGCTGCAGGCTTTACACTTTCATGTGTCAAGAGTATTCATCATGTATTTCAATGCATATCAATTTATTTAGTTCAACATTTAAAACGATTTTCTTTATTATAGTAGCCTAGGCCTACTCAGGTTTTTTTTTTATTGTGTAAGGAACTGTATGAATTAATTTTGCATCAAAAAAGCATTTTGATATCAATAAAGGTATCAATCACCGGCATATTAGTGATCAAAACGTGCTTGACTACATAAATTATTATCCTTTTTTAAAAAAAAGTTGAATATTGTGCATGTACGCGTATGCATCTAAAAAGTTCATATCAATAAATATTCTCTTTGAACCACCAGGTGGCAGTCTTTTACTTTTATTTCGGAGTTCAGAGTTTTATTAATATATATTTTTAACTTCATATATATAGTAAAAAGGAAAAAAAAAAAAAAAAAAAAAATATATATATATATATATATATATATATATTTATTTATTTATTTTATATTATATATATTTTATATATATTTTTTCTATTACTATATATATATATTTCCCAAGTGTATAAAACCAATGTAATAAATTATTAGCATTATTAGTATATCAGTATTTCTTTCAGTATATCTTTGCTTGAACTGACCCAATATAATGCTGTTTATATGAAATGAACCTGCTCCTATGCAGGTTTGAGCTACCAGAACTGTTACTATAACAACAAGTCGTGAGTTTTGAAGAACGAAATCATCCTGGATCATATCAAGTCGTCGACATCCAAATCCAGCGAACTGAGTAATCCACGTACGAAGAACAGACCCCAGGTTTCATTAGTTAATGTATTTACTAACATGAACTAGTAATGAACTATACCTGTATAGCATTTATTAAACACAATTCAACATTTATGAATGCATTATTAACATGCTTGTTAACGTAACATGAATAAATATCTTTTATTAACTAACATAAATAAATACTGTAATCAATGTATTGTTCATTGTTTGTTCATGTCAGTAAACGCATTAGCAACATTATTGTAAAGTGTTACCGTTAACATTTAGCTTTGTTTGCCAAGAGAACAATATTGTGGTAATTTTACCACACAACCTGCACTAAAAAGCAACAAAGAGCTTGGACTTGAAAGAGAAAGAGGTCTCATGAGAAACACAAGGGTCTCTATAAAGGGAAGAAACCGAGGGAAGAGGAACAGGACAGAAGATAAGATGAAAAAGTGGAGGATTAGGAGGGGAAATGTCAGGATAAGAGGCAAGGAAAGCGGATTTGAGAGCTCTCTGATCTCACCTCCAGGATCTTGATGACCGAGGAGGTGTTGGAGGCGATGTTGCCGTGAGTTATCATGGCTCCTTTAGGCTTTCCTACATCACAAAACAAACATGTCTGTAATAAACCTCATAGACATGCTACGATATTCAATGATTTCACTGATTATTATATGGGTGGCACGGTGGCTCAATGGTTAGCATTGTCGTCTTACAGCAGGAAGGTCGCTGGTTCGAATCCCGACTGTGCCAGTTGGCATTTTTGTGTGGAGTTTGCATGTTCTCCCCATGTTGGTGAGGGTTTTCTCTGGGTGCTCCGGTTTTCATCCACAGTCCAAACACATGCGCTATAGGTCAATTAGATGAACCAAATTGACCGTAGTGTATAAGTTTGTGTAAATGTGACTGTGTATGGGTGTTTCCCAGTACTGGGTTGCAGCTGGAAAGAAACATGCCGGAATGGTTGTCGGTTCATTCCGCTGTGGCAACCTTTAATAAATTAGGGACTAAGACGAAAAGAAAATTAATGTGTGTGTGTGTGTGTGTGAATGTGAGAGTGTTTCCCAGTACTGCGTTGTGGCTGGAAGGGCATCCGCTGCTTAAAACATATGCTGAAATAGTTGGCGGTTCATTCCACTGTTGCGACCCTTGATGAATAAGGCATTAACTGGTGTATGTGTGTGAATGAGAGTGTATTGGTGTTTCCCAGTACTTGGTTCCGGCCGGAAGGGCATCCACTGCTTAAAACATATGCTGAAATAGTTGGCGGTTCATTTCACTGTGGTGATCCCTGATAAATAAGGGAATAACTGGTGTGTGTGTCAATGAGTGTGTATTAGTGTTTCACAGTACTGGGTACTGGCCAGAAGGGCATCCGCTGCATAAAACATATGCTGAAATAGTTGGCGGTTCATTCCACTGTGGCAACCCCTGGTAAATAAGGGACTAACTGGTGTGTGTGTGTGTGTGAATGAGTGTGTATTGGTGTTTCCCAGTACTAGGTTGCGGCTGGAAAGGCATCCGCTGCATAAAATATATGCCGGAATAGTTGGTGGTTCATTCCGCTGTGTCGTCCCTGATAAACAAGGGACTAAGCCGAAAAGAAAATGAATAAATGAATGTATGAGTGTTTGTGTGAATGTGAGTGTATGGGTGTTTTCCAGTACTGGGTTGCAGCTGGAAGGGTATTCGCTGCGTAAAACATATGCTGGAATAGTTGGCGGCTCATTCCGCTGTGGCAACCTTTAATAAATAATGGACTAAGCCAAAAAAAAAAAAATGAATGAACAAATGAATGCATGAGTGTGTGAATTTTTGTGTATTTGTGTTTCCCAGTACTGGGATGCGGCTGGAGGAGCATCTGCTGCGTAATACATATGCTGGAATAGTTGGCAGTTCATTACACTGTGGCAACCCCTGATAAATAAGGGACTGATTTAAAAAAATGAATGAATGAATAAATGAATGTATGAGTGTGTATAGGTGTTTTCTAAGTGTTTTGTTTTTTGAACCCACAGATTCTAGATTTTCAAACAGTAGTCTCTCCACCAAATATTGTCCTGTCCTTTCGTCATGTGATGTATAAATCTCAATATTAAAACATGAACTCTTATGATTAGTTTTGTGGTTTGCAAACGAAATCTATAAAGTGTGATTTGAAGCATTAGTTTCTCAGTACCTGTTGTCCCACTGGTGAAACACACAACAGCCAGATCTTGAGGTTTAGGAGGCTAAGACCAATACAAAACAAGCAAGCAACACAAATACAGATCAAAACACCAAGAAACAGATCTAGATGACGAAGACCAACTGCATTAATACTCCTCTTATATCTGTAAACGTGCTGAAAGTCCTTTAAGTAATGAAGGGAAATTAAAAGAAGCTCTTACCACAGGTGGCTTTAAATTTTCTCTTCCCAGATCCTGTGAAGCACACAAACACCTTGGATCAACTTACAGAAGCATCCATATTTACAAGCAAACCTTTATCATATTAATTATTTTAATTGCACTAGAAGATGTTTACATACACTTTATTGGTGTTCATTTTAAAGATAATAAATAAAGTTAGAAAGTAAAATACTGTCTCTGTCTTTCTACTCAGTTCAAAGTATTATTATTATTATTATTATTATTATTATTATTATTATTATCATTATCATTATTATCATCATAATTACTACTATTAGTATTATTGTTATATGTTACTTAATGAGCATTTTTATTAATTAATTAATTTATTTATTTATTTATTTATTGTTTTTTCTTTATTATTATTATTGGATTAATTTATTTCTATATTTAGTATGTCTTTGTATTTTGTTGTTTTCTTAACGAATGGCCTTCCTTCAGGATAAATAAAGATTTATTTTGTCTTAAATGAAGAACATTTGTAAATAATATAGTGTTTATTTGTAAGGTTCAGAGGGATGAAACTTATAATTATATATATGAGCAATATCACACAAGTAGCAGTGCGATATGGCTGTATATCAGCACTGGTGGGAGACTTAGCGTCCCACCAGTGCTAATATATAAATGCAATATCACACTCATAGCAGTACGATATGGCTATATATTCAAGTAACCTAAACAAAAGTAAAGGTGAATTGAATATAGAGCCATATCACACTGCTATGAGTGTGATTTGCGTTTATACAACAGTTCGATGTCACAATTGTGTATTTACAAAAATAAAATAAAATCAGTTTTAAAATCCCTGTTGTATTAGGAACTACTTTCTTCCGCCATTTATTCACATCTGCAGCTGACATCAGAACAGCAGAAGCCAATACTAATTTACCAACGTCACTTTAGAGCTAGCGTTTGAATGATTCTCTAGCGTAATGTCCAAAATGATGACAAAATAGGTGATTTTGATCAGATTGTAAGGTTATAAGGCTGAACGTGACATGAAATGCCATCAATCTACAGAGATATCTCTTTAGACTACTACAGTCTACAATTTCTCTGTTGCAATCGGGATATCACAATAATTAACCCCGAAAAAAAATCGGCGCAATCACTACCAGACTGCTGTTGTGTTTGCGGTAAGGAGGGGGTGTTTGGGGGTGAGGTCTCTGAATAACACTGTTGAGAACCATGATAGGGAAGTACCTATATTAAAATAGGCACCGTTCTTATAAACAAACTGCATAGTTGCAATCAATACAAAAGAGAGAGATCGACTTAGAATATCACTTACCAGTTTAATAATGATTTGATCAGCTGTAGTTAGAAATTACACTGTTTTAATCTTCTAAGGGCTTTTTATGTGGTCCTGGCACCATCTTGTGGATAGACAACGTCAACCGTCTTTGACTAATGGACACCGACGTTCTCTCAGAAATTAAAAATATTTAAATTATTAATATAGGCACTGTCCTTATAAATAAACTGCATAGTTGCAATCTAAACAACAACATTCTTGAAAAAAAAGCCCCAAAAGTACATTATGTTGCCCAACAGCAGGAATATTTGTCAAACTGTGGAGCGTCCTCTGCTTGTATGTGGGCGGAGTAATACACAAAGGTGAAGAGGTGTTTGTATGCTGTTACTGGCAAAATATCTCACAGCTATCAGCCAATCAGATTCAAGAACCAGACAGAACTGTTGTATAAATATATATGCATGTATATATATATATATATACACAGTTGAAGTCAGAATTTTTAGCCCCCTTCAAATTTTTTTCTTCTTTTTGAAATATTTTCCAAATGATGTTTAACAGAGCAAGGACATTTTCACAGTATGTCTGATAATATTTTTTCTTATGGAAAAAGTCTTGTTTGTTTTATTTCGGCTAGAATAAAAGCAGTTATAAATTTTTTAAACACCATTTTAAGGACAAAATTATTAGCCCCTTTAAGCTATATTTTTTCTCGATAATCTTCAGAACAAACCATCGTTATACAATAACTTGTCTAATTATGAATATGCCTAAAAATGAATATGGCGGGGGAAAATATTAAATAAAACTTTAATAAACAGGAAAAAGTTGAAAATCTGTCTTTTTGTAGTAGTCCTTTTGTAATAACTTTGAATTTAAAGGTATTATATTTCTGTTCCTAAATATATTATGCAACCAACCTCTAGTTTTAATAGATTTAACTGAATAAAACATAATCCATAATAATATAATAAATAATAAATGTATTAAATAACAACATTTCTGACCATGATCTGTGAGAGCTGCAGGATCTCCATACCGCACTTCCTCCCTCTGTCCAGCAGGGCGGCGCTGAAGGGGTTAAAGAGCACCAGGCAGGACAGGCTGGGCGTCACGCCCTTCTCCTTATTCCTCAGCAGAGACTCCGCTTTATCCTCCTTATCACAGATCACCATCGAGATCTCAGCTGGACAGACACCAGACATAAAGATTTAAGAAATGACCGATTCATTTGGAGAGTCGGGAGCTCATGTGTGTGTCACTCACCCAGGTTAAGGATGTGAACCATGGCCTCAATCCCCAGTGTGTCATACAGTGGCACCAGAGCCATGGAGAAGGTGTAGCAGGCCAGCTCTGCAATGACCCACTGCAGCCAGCAGAGGGAGACACACAATGCAGCAAAACAGTAGAATCCAGGGGTATTCCTAGACATTTAAGCTCTTTTGGGACATATGACCCCCTTAAAAGGAACCTATTATGCAAAAACCACTTTAATATGGGGTGTAATCACAATTGTGTGGAAAGAGTGTGTGAATATAACCAGCTTCTGATGGTAAAAATGTGTAAGGTCTATTTTTTTAAATCACAATTGATGAAAACAGTCTGCAGAAACACTTTGATTGACATTCTCTATTTGTATGTGCCATCAGAGGGGGAAAGCCCCGCCCACACGTGACCATCTCTTTCTCATTAGCATTGGATGTCAATTTTGTTTTTGAGTCTGCTACTATGCTGACAAACGGGCATTTGTAGCTCCGCCCTCTTTAAAAAAAGCACAATCTCATTTGAATTTAAAGAGACAGTCACCAAAATGGCACAATTAGGATCAAAGCCTAAAAGGGGCAGGTTCAAAGATTATTTTGAGCTGAAACTTCACATACACACTCTAGGGATAATCTTGTAGAAAGGAGCATAATAGGTTCCCTTTAAGGTCTTTCAAGGTATTCATATCTAGTTATTATTAGTTATTAGTATTATGCTAGTTTTGTTGAATAAAATCAGCAAACAATGCAAAAGAAATATGACAACGAGATGTGGCTCAGTGGTTAACACTCGCCTCAAAGCAAGAAGGTCACTGGTTCGAGTCCCGGCTGGCTTAGTTGGCGTTTCTGCGTGGAGTTTGCATGTTCTCCCTGTGTTGGTGTGGGTTTCCTCCGGGTGCTCCGGTTTCCCCCACAGTACAAACACATGTGCTATGGGGCAATTGAATGAGCTAAATTGGCCGTAGTGTATGAGTGTGTGCAGGGCTGGTGCGTCCATAGAGGCGACCTAGGCAGTATAGAGGCAGTATAGAGAGGGCAGCATCCGAGACGCCTCCCTTACCACCCGCGTCCTCAGTTATGTCCACGACACCTCCCTCACCACCCGCGTCCTCAGACATATTCGCGCATAGACGACAGAATAGAGAGGGCGGTGTCAGCGACACCTCCATCAGCACCCGCGTGTCCTCAGTTATATCCGCGCATAGGGCGGCAGAATTGAGGTCCGTGACACCCGCGCGTCCTCAGTTATATCCGCACATAGGGCGGCAGAATAGAGAGCGCAGTGTCCGCGACACCTCCCTCCCTCCCTCAGCACCCGCGCATCCTCAGTTATATCCGCGCATAGTGCGCTGGAAAAGAAGTCCGCGACACCTCACTTCATTTTCATAACCGGTCACTTTCGTTTTCACATTGGGGTTGAGGGTGGCGTGATCGTCCTCTGCCTAGAGCGGCAGTTCAGCTTGCTCCGGCCCTGAGTGTGTTAATAGATGTTTCCCAGTACTGGGTTGGTGCTAGAAGGGCATTTGCAGCGTAAAACATATGCCAGAATAGTTGGTGGTTCATTCCACTCTGGCGACCTCTAAAATAGAGACTCCCGTCAATTTTGCGTGGAAAGTGACACACTGTGCATTTTTTGGTTTTGCTGTACGTCTTGTTTATAAATGAAACCCTATATGCTGTTTGATGTACCTCAGGTCTGTTTTGTGCATAGATGCCCACATACTGCTGTGGGTTTGGTTTGCAGCCCTTCGCCAGTAATCCTGATCCCAGCACCTGTGCCCGCTCTGCCACCTGTGACATCATCATCATCATAAGAGGACACTTTTGGCTCATTACATGATTATTATACAGTAATCAATGTGTAATAGCATGTGTTTTCCTCACCTCTGTGTAAGAGATCCACTGATAGGGCTCTCTAGGTTTCCTGAAGCCCAGACACGGGCCATCACCTGAACCGCACAAATAATATTGTTTCATGCCACAAAAACAAAAAAACGTCAATAGTATTTACTTCCAAAACACATATGGATTTTTGATTTGACGTGTCATTTTCACATGATAAAAATGAATAGACTTAGCATTTTCATCGTTTAAAATGCAGTAAACATTTGTTTTTTTATAATGGACATCTTGTTATAAAAACTGCAGTGTTATTTATTTTCTATTTTTATTTTTACACTTTTGAGCCAAATCTCAAAACTGTCCTGTGGTGCGACTATCTCAGGCATAGGTTAATAAATTACAGCTCTAAAGAAAATTGAAAATCGTTTATGAGTGGCTATATTAGTGAATGGCATTTTTTTCAATCCACATATTTCAAAATATATAGGTATATACCTTGATACATGTTGTTACTGTAAACTACATCCCATGTCGTGACACTACAGTACATGCTAATTTCAAATCAGGCAATTCCACAAATAAAATTTAAATTAGCTGAAGGACTCCATTCAAGATCATCTCTGTATATATATATGCAACAATACAGTTAGTCCACAGTTCAATACATACCTTGGTTTTTTAACACGGTGTTCGGTTCGGTTCTCATGGCTTGACACGTGTTTTTTTATTTTTTTTATTCTATAGGCAATAGGAACAGTAAAAAAAAAAAAAAAAAAAAACTATTTATTGCAATACTCATTTTGTTTTACTTAAAAGCAAAGAAAAGTGCAGTAGTTCCTGCTGTATTGTATAAAAAAATAACACTGAAATCTCATGGCTGCTGGTAGCCCATGCTGGGGAACACATAAAATCCTGCACTTTTAAAATAAACATACACGTGAAGTTAATAAAGATGAATTGGCCATTTAAAATAAACATATTTGTACTTAAGTAAACATAAATAAACCACCTTAATTATCTCGGTGCTGAAAAAATGCGAGACTGTAGTCTGTAACGCGGATCGAGTGCTTTTATAAGATGACAAAAGCCCACATCTCCAATCACCGAAAATGGCTGCAAATCTTTAGCAATACACACCCGCACTGCCTTCGTTATTTTATATGTCCCTTCGGAACCAGTTGGGTATGTTTGCTTGAAAGATTCAGTGAGGGATTGTTGCTATTTGGAGGACTTTATTACCTTCTCTGCTATCCTGCCTTTAGACAGTGATAACTGTGCACACAGTTATTTTTTATTCACTGTTTATTCAATGTTTTTTTTTGGAATTATACTTAACGGCAAAATTTAAATGTCCTCACACCGCAGATATGAAAGACGCCGGCGCCTTCTCATACTTTTGCCTCAACCTCACTTCACCGCAGCTCCCAATGTTAAAGTCTGGTATGATGGTCAAGCGCCCCCTAACTTTAGAGCATAATGATTGGATATTTACTCGCGGGGAGGAGTTTCCTCATCTCAGCTCATGGACATACAGGCAAACACAGTCAATTCGGGGAGATATAAAACGCACATAAATTATTTAAAAGCAAAACCGAGAAAACCGCATTCACAAGGGCGTATTGAACCGTGGAGATCGTACCGAACGGTTCAATATTATATTGAGAACCTAGGCATCCCTAATATATATATATATATATGTATATATATATATATATATATATATATATATATATATATATATATATATATATACTGGAAGTAGTGTTAGTGAGGCCAACAGGGGGTGCGCCCCCTTACGCCCCAGTATAGTAAAGGGGGCTATACGGCTCAGTGAGCACCGTCTTTTGGATGAGACGTTAAACCGAGGGCTTCTCTGAGGTCATTAAAAATCCTAGGATGTCCTTTGAAAAAGAGTAGGGGTTTAACCCCGGCATTCTGGACAAATTTGCCTACTGGTTTCATCACTTTATCTCCTCTCCACCAATCTAGTGCAATTTGGAGCTTGATTAGCTGGTTCAGGTGTGTTTAATTAGGGGTTGGAACTAAAACATGCAGAACACCGGCCCTCCAGGACCAAGTTTGGGCACCTCTGCTCTAGTGGATTTTACGGTATTACACAGATCTCCCCAAGCAGAGAACCATAAAATGTTCGAAATGCTTCGAAACAGTAATGATGTAGCAAAGCCCTGTACACTGAGATCCTGTGATCTTGCCAATTTGATATACGCTCCGAAACGCTGATTCAAAACTAAATATTCGTAAAGGTTTCAAAGCTTCATGGAACAGTGCTTCGAAAGCAGCAGAAAGTCAGAATGATCAGCCCTCCTGAATAAAAATATTATAGGAAATAATGTGAACGATTCCTTGCTCATCATTTAGGAAAATTTTGAAAAAGGAAGATTCACAGGAGGACTAATAATATTGCCTTAAACTGTTTTCTGCTTCAAAAATAATGTTTTCCAAAAAGAAAGCATTTTTACTGCCTATTTTAACTTTATAACTTTTATAATTTTATAATTTGTTCAGCGTTTTTGCAATAAATCCCGAACACCTTTAGGTAGGGATGTAACAATATTGTAAATACCGTCATACAGCAATAGTAATTTTTTTCACTATTACCGTAGGCGCATGACTCAATAAAACTATATTTCTGAGAAAAGAACTACAATTCCCATCTGCCTAGGCGTGGCCATCATCCTTTGCGGTCTGTTGTCACTACAGATCCAGTAATGCGGAAATGGAGTGTGCTCCTAGTAGCGAGAAAGAAAAAGAGCTGGAAATGATCGAACCTAAAGCGGGTTTTAAATCGGATGTGTGGAAGCATTTCAGTTTCTTTCTAAAAAAGATACGAAAAAGTAGAAAAGGTGACAGACAAAGACAAAAACAGTATGCAGGCACTGCCAGACTGTGGTGAAATATAAGTGGGGGAATACGAATAATAACAGTGATGGGGACTGCAGAACACAGCACACTTGTTAGATTGATGCAGACATTGACTTGTACCGCAAAGAGACCTCTATCTCACTCATGGCTTGTCCTCTCAAGTGGTGGAAAGACAATGCACAGCGTTACCCACTGCTGTCAACCTTGGCTAAATCATATCTCTCTGTCCCAGAAACCTCAGTCTCAAATGAGAGGGTTTTTTTCTGTTGCAGGGGACATGCCCAGAGATCCCAGCTTTTACCAGATTATAGTTATATGATCATTTTCCTTAAAACCCATCTCTATCTAAGTGAGTGAGTGACTAAATGTTTAATGTGATGAGTTTTCAACAATACTAAATTGAAACTTTATTTTTTTATATGGTTTAATAGTTTTTTGTTATTAAAATTGAAAAATTGAAGTTCCTGTTTCGAAACTTTCAGATCTATGGCTGATTTGTATGTCATTGATATGTTCAGTGCTAAGGTCTGACCAGGTCTAGAAAATATGATCATATAACCCCAATTTAATCCTCCTTACACTGGCTGCCTGTTAAGTTTCGTATTGAATTTAAAATATTACTTCTCACCTATAAAGCTCTAAATAATCGAGCTCCTGTTAATCTAACCAACCTTCTGTCTCGCTACAAACCAACTCGCTCTTTAAGATCTCAAAATTCAGGGCTTCTGGTAGTACCTAGAATAGCAAAATCAAGTAAAGGAGGTCGAGCCTTCTCTTTCATGGCTCCTACACTCTGGAATAGCCTTCCTGATAACGTCATACATGACGTTACACATGAGCATACACTCAATGCATCACCTAGCAGGTTCCACACATGGCTTCTGCATCTTGCTTATATACACTATGAACAGCAGCTACGCTAATTATTCTCTTTATTCTCTATTTTCACCTGGGGATACTCATCCCGAGGTCCTCAGATTATGCGAAGTCACTGATTGGATCCAAGACCAGCAACGTGATGATCCCAAGGATTCCATATCCGGGACCAGGCCATATCCTGAGCTGCTGCTGCGCTGATGGTCATGGGGAGTGGAGAACATGAGTCTGATTCCAGCGACGCTCCAGGGACAGACGAGTCTTCGCTGAGGCCATCTTCCAGCCTAAACCACGGCGAATGAAGCTCTGCACAAGACTTTTGGCCAGCGGAGAAATTAAAATGGTCGTGCCCAACTGAGTCTGGTTCTCTCAAGGTTTTTTTTCTTTACTCCCATCAGGTGAAGTTTTTTTTCCCTCTCCGCTGTCGCCACTGCCTCGCATGGTTCAGGATTGGTAGAGCTACGCATCGATGAATTTGCTCTTCAGTGTTTGAACTCTCAGTAATGATTAAATCACACTGAACTGAGCTAAACTGAACTGAACTGAACTTAAACACTAAAACCTGAACCACACTGTTCCAGTTATTATGACCATTTATGTGAAGCTGCTTTGACACAATCTACATTGTAAAAGCGCTATACAAATAAAGCTGAATTGAATTGAATTAAGGTAAATAAACACTTTTGGCACTTTTTTCGAGTCTTTTCATTAGTTTTGTTTTTCCTGTAAATGATTCAATAAATACCGTACCGTGCCATTCATACCGAGGTATTACCGCACCGTGAAATTCTGATACCGTTACATCCCATTCCCTACCTGTTTACTGTGAAATGATGCCCTGTACATAACCCAATACATACTTGTATACATAATATCTGCCTTTCTTTAAAACACAAAGAAATCTTTTCACAAAGAAACTCCAAAGACAAGCAATCGAGCGAGAAGCTATTGCCCAATCCATTCACCGGAGGAAGCTCCATGTGATAAAGGCAGGATTGATCTGCAGAAAGCCTTGAAGTAAATGAAAAAAAAACCTCACTGTATTCATGGCGGTTCAGCGGATTTCACCCGAGTGTTTTCTGTGTATTTATACAGACTCTGCTTTCAAGCTTTTCTAGGAGAAACGTGACCTGCTATCCGCAGTCCTCTCTGGAACATGTCGTACGCTGTCTTTGTGTCCTCATAGTAAAAGTCCAGCAGAGTGTCGTCCTTCAGTAAAGCTGAGCGTCTGCAGCTTTGGTCTCCCTGCAAACACACACACACACACACATATACACACAGACATAATCACAGTGTTACAAATATTTAATAATAAAAAGATTTTTTTTTTTTTTTTACGAGATGCTAATGGTCTAATCCGATTCAATGATCTATGCTAAGCTAAGCTAAAAATGTTCCCACTACTCCTAAAGATCAACTAAATGGATTAAAAATAAATCAAATAAAAGTGTACATGTGAATAAAAGTGGAGTGTTTCCTTAAGAATATATTGCTTTGTTTTACCTGCACAGGTATTGACTGGGCCTGTAGGTCACAGGGAGGCTGTATTGGTCTCGGTCTAGTGACCAGCCAGTAGGTAGTGAGAGAAGCCAGAGCTCCTAAGCCGATGATGGAGGACGGAGAGAGAGAGAGAGAGGATAGAGAGAAGGACGAGGGCAGAGACGGAATGAGAGTCTTCAGATTGTCCAGTTCAGACTTCCCATCTCCTCCATGGAAGCGCAGGGATCTTAACCACTCCTGAAACTGCATACCTGAGAGAAAAACACAGGTGCCATCAGGATCATTTTTCACATTCTCTCACATCTCTCCAAATTACAAGAAGATTGATAGATACAAGAACGACAGGAGCTCTGCACAGTCCTGCTTTGATTAAAGGTGTAGTTGACCAAAAAAATGAACATTCACTCTTGTTTTGCACTGTCGATATGTTCAAAACCTACACGAGATGTGTTGAACACACAAGAAGATATTTTGAAGAATGCTGGAATTTAGACCCACATATTCATATACAGAGGGTGAAATAAATAGTCACCACGTCACCATTTTTCTCACTACGTCAAACATATTTCTAAAGGTGCTGTTAACTTTTCAGGTGCGTTGAAATTTTCACCGGATGTTGGCAACCAAAGAAATCCGTATATGCAATGAAAACAAAACTAATTAGTTTATAAATTAAGTTACGCGTGATAAAATGAAATGACACAGGGAAGTCTTGAACACATGAAGTAAGGGAGTTGTGGAAAGAGCAGTTGAAATCTCTCAGTAGTTCTTCAGCAAACGAATATCAGCTGCTTCAGTCCAACATCTACATTAGCAGGAGGATGAAGATGAAACCAGGGGTGGACTTTTCAGCAAGACAATAATACAGCCAAGGAAACTCTCGGATGCTTTCAGAGAAAGAAAATCAGGCTGTAGAATGGCCCAGCCAATCACCTGACCTGACCCCAATAGAAAATACAAAAATAAAGCTCAGATTTGATAGACGAGACCCACAGAACCATCAGGATTTTAAACTCTGTTGAAGTCTGTGAGAAACTCACACCTGAGCAATGCATGTGACTCTCCATATGAGAGGCGTCTTTAAGCTGCCAGCATCACAAAAGTATTTTATATGAAGTAATAAATACATTTCAGTAGTTCAGCACTTTCTCATTGCATTTTTATTACTCATAACACATTTTTCAGATTTGTTTTATTTTTATGTTTGTATTGTTTGGGTTTTTACTAAAAACGGGTTCAATTCCATGTTAACAGCTCCTTTAGAAATGTATAATTTAATTTATATTTTCTTTTACACTCATATTAACCAGTTAAACTCTACAGACCCGGTACCGGGTCCGTGACGTCATCGACTTTCGCTTTAAGATTTAAAAGGGCTAGCGTTGCACCAGACTCCCATAAGTAGTTTTGTTTGAAAGTGCAGAAGCTATATTTTATGCACATATGCATCACTTTGGTTTTTAATCTACAGCTCAAAAGTTAGTTACACTTAAATACACAGTGTTTTGGATACCCGAGCTGGGTATTGAACATTGGTTCCTTTTCATATTTTTTCATATGGTTCATATATGACACATAGACAAGTTATAGCTCAAATGAAAGCTCTTGCCGGTGCTCATACGGTTCTAGCATTCTTTTTACTGAATTATATTTAGATATCAAACAGTTGTCGAATGAATTAGGGTGTTTCCATAGCGCAGAAGTGAAATCGATACATTTATGATCAATAAGCAGCCCCAGATAGCACAGACAGCTGTCATCTCTTACCTTATGCTGTGTGCTTCAGGGCCATTTCTCCTCTGTTTTAGAGGTGATGTGCATAAGTAATCCTGTTATATGTCTGATGTGGTCCAAACACAGTGAATTATGTTTGATCAAACAAAAGAATCGTGAAATATGGAAACAATGATCGCTCCCTGTGGCTTGTACAGCACCTCTCATCAGTTGCAATACAATAACTTTTGCATAGATTATGGTGGAGACATTTTTCTTTTTTCCTATGATTACAGACATGTGCAGGAACCACCAAAATTTATTACAGCACGCTAGACCACACAGAAACCTTAAAGGTACACTTTCAAATTTGAGTTTATAAAAAAAAAATACAAAAAGCGCCTCTTTTTTTTAGATGTTTATTATAACACAGACAGCATATAAAGTTATTTTAAACACTTTCAATAGTGTTTTATGAAAATTCAAAGGTTTTTCTTTAAAAGGATACCAAATTTTTGCATCTACAGCTCTCCATGTGGATTTGGGAAGCTTTTAAATTTGTGTAGACAAAATCCCAAAATAGCAGCAGAGTTTAACTGGTAAAAACATTTGAAACCCACACATCGATGACCTTTTGATCACCAAAATAACAACACGAAAACTATTAGAATTGAAGGAAAATTTGTATTAATCTGAAAGCTTCATATACAAATGAAGACTGGATTTTGTCCCCATACAATGCATATAAACTACCTTGACATCCAACACATTCATCAAAATAACATAAAAAAATGGTAATGACTCCAATGTTGGATCCCTAGAAGGGCATCCGCTGCGTAAAAAAAACATATGCTGAAATAGTTGGCGTTCATTCCGCCTCTGAAATTGTGACTAAGCCGAAGGAAAATGACTGAATGAGTGTGCCTCGCACAGGTGAGTGGGCTTGACAAACCACCTGTAGAAAAAACTCTTTCATCTCTGACATTTAAACAAACACATGCACTGGTTTTTGCACATCTGCACCAGACATGCTCTCCCAATCAGTCCACATCTACAAAATATTTCATTCATTCATTTTCCTTCGGCTTGGTCGCTTTTTTATCAGGGGTTTTCACAGCGGAATGAACTGCCAACTATTCCAGCATATGTTTTATGCAGCCGATGCCCTTCCAGCCGCAACCCAGAACTGAGGAACACCCATACATTCTCACATTCACAAACATACTCATACACTATAAGCAATTTAGCTTTAAAACGACTGTGTGCATTAATATTGCATTAAATTAGTGTGCAGTGACTCCAAATTACTGACAATTTTCATTGCTTTCTTATAAAGGAGTCTGAGAACAAAAGCTGAATGGAAAAGTGCTCCGGCCTGAGAGAAGCCAAACAATGTTTTGGGTCCCATCTGAATGCCAGGAGGAAGTAATGATGATTGGCCCATAATCAACAGGCGCTCGGGTCACTTTCGGACATTTTCTAGGAGGCAGGACACAAGCGGCCCAAACACCAAACAGCTTTAAATGTGTTGCAGAGGAACAGATGAGGAAGTGTGTTTAAAAAAAAAAACTGCTTTTATTCTAGCTGAAATAAAACAAATAAGACTTTCTCCAGGAGAAAAAATAATATAGGAAATACTGTGAAAAATTCCTGAATCTGTTCAACATCATTTGGGAAATTAAAATAAATAAATAAATATATAAATAAAAGAAAATCACAGGAGGGCTAATAATTTTTTACTTCAACTGTATATAATACAAGCAAGCAAATCTAGTTTATTCATTCATTTTCTTTTCAGCTTAGTCCCATTAATAATCTGGGGTCCCCACAGCGGAATGAACCGCCAACTTTACTTGTATTAACTTTAATTGTATTAATTTATTATTTATTTGTATTTAATGTATTTATTTTATTGATTTATTATTTATTTCTTTATTCATTAATTAATTTAGTTAATTATTTTTTACAATTACTATTTATTTACTTACATTATATATATATATATATATATATATATATATATATATATATAT